TAAATGTGTTTATGTCAAGGGTACATCAAATACATTTGTGATTGTATGTCTATATTTAGACGACATGTTGATCATGGGGAGTAGCCATGAAGTGATCATGGATACAAAAAGAATGTCGAAAAGAAATTTCGACATGAAAGATATGGGTTTGGCTGATGTTATTCTTGGAATAAAGATTATTAGAACCCAAGATGGAATTGTCTTGTCACAATCTCATTATGTAGAGAAAGTGCTCAAGAAATTTGATACCTATGACGGTGCACAGTCTAGGTGTAAGACACTCATTGATCTCAGTATAAATCTGTATGTCAACAAAGGTCAACCAGTGGGTCAGTTGGAATATTCACGGATAATAGGGAGTCTGATGTACTTGACAAATTGTACACGACCGGACTTGGCCTATCCGGTGAATAAGTTGAGCAGATTTACGAGCAATCCCAGTCATGAGCACTGGAATGCTTTGAGAAGGGTACTTAAGTACTTGAGATACACCCTTGAATACGGGCTAAAATACTCGAGATATCCAGCCGTACTTGAAGGGTACTGTGATGCAAGCTGGATATCAGTTTCGAGAGATTCTCGCTCCACTAGCGGATATGTTTTCTGTATTGGAGGAGGAGCAGTTTCGTGGAAATCCACAAAACAAACGTGTATAGCTCGGTCAACGATGGAATCAGAGTTCATCGCTTTAGATAAAGCTGGTGAAGAAGCCGAGTGGCTTAGAAATTTTTTATCTGATATTCCATGTTGGGATAAGACTTTGCCGCCTGTGATGATTCACTGTGATAGCCAAGCTGCTATAGGTAGGGCGCAAAGCAACTTGTATAATGGTAAGTCTAGACATATTCGTCGTAGACATAATACCGTACGTCAATTGATCACTAATGGTATTATTTCCATTGACTATGTGAAGTCTAAGGAAAATTTGGCTGATCCTTTGACGAAAGGATTGAATAGAGATCAATTGACAGTTTTGCTAGAGGGAATGGGCTTAAAAATCCACAATGTAAAGAATGATCATAGTGGTAACCCTACCATGCTGAGTGGAGATCCCACGAACTTGGTTCAAAGGGAAAACTAAGCTATGAAAATTCAGTTGAGCACTTGGAACATATGAATGTCCAAAGCTATTCCCTAGAGCACTCCAAGTGCAAGATAACTTGTTGATTGTGGTGAGGGTAAGTCATATGGACTTCTAATGAATCCCTAACCTTGTAAAAGTGGAGTATGGCAGGATGCTCTTGATAGGGAGGTCACCTATATAAGTGTGAAGTGTGGGCCGCTTCAAATGTAAACACTTATGAATCCATTGTGTTGTCCATGGCCAAAACGGACACAACAATAGAACGGAATGGAGTTAAGACTCTATTGTGTGAATGTCATTGTCTCGGTGTACACTATGGAGGAATAGTTCAAGGCATTATGTCCACTATGCCGTCAGTGCATCCGATGATGTTTACTAAGAAAGGTTCAAAGCCAAAAGCTACCATCTCTGATGTAATAGAGTTTTGTGAGAATTGAGCACAAGAATATGCACACATTAAATTTTCACTCATGTGGGGGATTATAATAATGGAGTGAAAATTTTAGTGAATGGGATCCACTCATGTGTATTAATTATTCTAATTGGCATCTTGCACATGGGTGAAGACAGCTACAAACTGCACTAATTGCTCTGTC